GGGGGGGGGGGGGGGGGGGGGGGGGGGGCGCTGGAGCCGGGGCCCTGTCTCCGCAGGGACCTGTGTTGCCTTTCTCTTTCCTCTCCAGACTCAGGGTATCTGTTCAGTGGGAGCCGCCCACCGTCTCAGGTGTCCCGATCCAGAGAGGTTCCGGTTTCAGGTGAGGAGGACAGAACGCCAAGAGGAGTGACCGGGAAGCCGCCTCAGGCAGGGCAGCTCGTGGGCCGGCGTTTCCAGAGCGTGTGCAGGGCGGGACAGCAGCCGCATTAAGCGTGAGCTTTGGGGTCAGATGGGCCCCCAGAGGGGATCATGTTCAAACCCCAGCCCTGTGCCTCCCAGCTGTGCAGCCCTGGGCAAGTGCTTCACGCCCTTGTGCCTCAGTTTACTCTTCTGTGAAATGGGCGTGAGAGTTTCTAGGATCAGCTACGATGCTGTCGTCCTTACAGTGGTGACGGATGGAGGCGGCATTTGGGGTGCCGGCGTCAGCGGGGCTCAGGGTCGCTGACCTCAGGTCTCCAGGGTTGGTTTCTCCCCGGGCCTTGCTCTCAGCTGAGGGAGGAACCAGGGGCTTTGGATAGAAGTCGGGGGGAAGGGGGCAGAGGGGGCATGGCTGAGGCTCCAGGATCCTCTCCCCTCTCTCGGGTGCCTGGTGGGGTGCAGGCCCCTCCTACCTCAGTTCTCAGCAGGGCTCCCCTCTGCCCCCTAGTCTAGGCCCAGCCTCGCCTTTCTCCCTGGGTCAATACAGGAGAGAGCACCAGGACCACAGCCGCTCCTATAACCAGAGCAGACATTGACACGATGTTGTCGTCTTTGTTTCTGTCATCCTCCGCCCTCCAGATTACTTCTCTCTGCTGTCCGGGAGCTGCCCCTCCTCCCCTGTCCCTTCCCCAGCGCCCTCCGTGGCTGGCTCAGTGGCCTCCAGCTCTGGCTCTCTGCGCCACCGCAGGCCCCTCATCAGCCCTGCCCGGCTCAACCTGAAGGGGCAGAAGCTGCTGCTGTTCCCGTCGCCCCCTGGGGAGGCCCCTAACACCCCCAGCAGCTCTGACGAACACTCGCCCCGCAATGGCAGCCTCTTCACCATCGAGCCGCCCCCCGTCCCACAGAGGCAGCCGGCGCGGGACACAAAGCACACTGTGGGTACGGCCCTCTGACCGCCCTCTCGGAGGCAGGAGAGCCCAGCAGGCCGTGGGAGGCCTCTGGTCAGTGTGCAGCGGTGGGGACACCGTCAAGAGGTCACACGGGGCCTGTCCTGGCTCTTATCTCACTGTGTGGCCACTCTCCCAAGTCCAGACATCCCTGGCCTCGCTGGCCTGGCTTCTGGTGACCTTGAACCCTCCAGGACATTGCCCTTTTTTGGCTGATTTTATTTTCTTCTTTTGCAATTGACTTGGAGGCTCCTCTGTTCCTTGGGATGGATCAAAAATGCATCAGGCTGCATCTGGTTGCAGATGTTTTTGTTTTGCTCAAATGAAGTTTTTCCGCAAAGCATTTTAGAATTTTTTAAATTAGGCCTCAACCTTTAAAATCTAGAACTTTCGCATGAATGTGTGGATTTCCTGTGTCTCGTATTATATCAGAAGATCTGGCCACACTGGGCCAGACAGGTGGAAGGGCAGGCTGAGGTCCCACTCCCCAGCCTCTGCCACTCCCTGCCCCACCGACCTGCCCCCTCCACAGCCTCGCTTGTGGCCGTCGTCTTCCACCGCCTGGCGGTGTTTGAGTTTGTTGCTCCTTATCTAAAGCCAGCTCCCTTCATGGCAGCTACACAGACAGGACCTGAATGAGGACCTGGCCTCCCACTGCCCACTGCCTGGGGTGGGCCGAGCGAGTTGGGACCAGCAGGGCTGGCTGGCTGGCCACATCCGAGGACCATCCTGGGATTGGAGGTGGAGCTGCCCCACATCTGTCCCTGGGGGTGAGCCATGAGCTCCCACTGAAACGCCCCTTCTCCCTGCAGACATGAAGTCAGTGCCGGAGGGGGGCAGCACGTGCAGCAGCCGCTCCATCAAGAAAGAGGACGACTCATCCCGGTCGTCCTCCTGTGTGGTGGACACCACCACCAGAGGGTGCGCAGAGGAGGCCCCCACCTGGCGAGGTCTGCACCCCGTGTGATGTGCGGGAGGGGGGCAGGGTAGCGCGGGGTCTCCGGGTCTGCAGCCACCTCCTGAGAGCTGTCCGAGAACAGCCCCTCGAGGGCTCTTGGGTGACAGAAGAGGGTGAGATGGCCCACCCGAGGCCTCCTGGACCCCGTCTGTGACAGCATCCCCACTCAGATTAGGGTCTGCATCTGTGCTCTTACAGGAGCCTCTGGCCACAGGTAGCTCTTTACATCTAACAGTTAAAATGTAATAACAGTAAAAATCTACTTGCTTAGCTGCACCAGCCACATTGCAGGTGCTCCACTGCCGCGTGTGGCCTGTGGCTGCTTGACTGGACAGAACAGATACAGAACACTTTCACCTTTGGAGAAAGTTCCCCAGGAGGGTGTCAGCGTGGGCGCCCTGGGGGCCAGTGCAGAGGCTGCAGGCTGCACAGGGCACTGAGTTGCCTGGGTTCAAATCCTGGCTCCTCTGCTTGCAGGATGGGGGCGGGCTGTGACGTCAAATCCCAGTTCAGTGTAAAGCCCAGCAGTCAGCTCCTGGTACCCCCTCCAGACGTGTGGGAGACATGTATGTTGACAGAAGATTCTCCTGTAATGATCATTTTGAGCTGACTGGAAATGGGTGCTACTCCCAAATCTGGTGGGGTCTGGGATGTGACCCAGCAGCATCAACTTGGGGTGGGGGACCCCAGTCAGCAGCTTATCGCCTTTGAGGCCTGGGTAGGTTACTCATCCTGTCCTGTCTGTAAAGCTGGTGTACCCCATGGCAAGGTGCAGGTGTGTACCACCCTAGCCCGGTACCTGCCTGGTGGCACAGGGTCAGGAAGAGAGGCATCTTCAAGGAGTCAGGACTTGGGACTTCCCCGGTGGTCCAGTGGTTAGCACTCCGCTTTCACTGCTGAGGGCCCGGGTTCAATACCTGGTCAGAGAAGTAACATCCCACAAGCTGCAGGGCACAGACGAAAAAAAAAAGGAGTCAGAATTTAACTAAGTGACCCCACATTCCCGGGTCTTTTCAGATGGGGAGGCCTCTGGGTGCCCGGAAAGAACTGGGGCAGGGCCTCAGCCCAGGAGCACCTCCCCTGGGGGTGGGGTCTCAGCCCAGGTGAGCCCCCCCTGGGGGCGGGGCCTCAGCCCCACATCGCTCACAGGTCTCTCGTTTTCTCTCTGGAAGGTCGTTTAGGCCCCTCGCTGATCCGGGGCCTCCTGGCCGTGAGCTTGACTGTCAACGCCCTCTTCACCTCGGCCTACCTGTACCAGAGCCTGCGCTGACCCGTGGTCCGCAGCCTCCCGGCACCCAGAGAATCTCGGAGGGTGCGCCCAGGTGCATGCCGCTCCCACCACTGCCGGCCTCAGCCCTCCTCAAGGGGCTGCCGCCTCCGCCCTTTTCTCCAGGGCCCTTGACCTATAGCCAGAGGGAGCCCTGTTCCCGGAAGCCTTCTCCCCACCTAACAGACTGCGGGGCTGGGCATGGTCTTGGGGTTCACAGCCCTCCCCGCCCACCTCCTTGGCTGACGTCAGTTGTGTGTTTGGTGCTGACACTCTGATCCTGAAGCCAGGGGTCCCCGAGGGGCTGCATGACCCTGGGGTCCCTCCGCACCATCCAGCCCTGCCTGGCGGGAATGCCACGACTGCTGTGACGGGATCAGGAGCTGTGGCCCTGAGCCCGCAGCCGCGGGCTGTGATTACATCTTTGTACTGTACCGCTCTGTCCCGTGGGCCGCCTCAGGCTCCCTGGGGGAGGAGGGCGGGGAGGTCTCCAGCCGGGTGGAGCAGAAACCTCCCCTGGCAGGCCCCGTTGAGGGCCGGCATCTTTTGCCATTGTCCTGCCCCTTCCTGTGGGCTGTGGGCTACGCCTTCCCTCTGGCTCTCCTGGGCGGGCAGGTGAGTTTCCTGCCCAGGGCCCCTCAGAGTTCCTGGGTCTCAGGGGCCCAATTGGACTAGTGTAAGCACCACCCCCAAGACTCACTTCTCCCTGCTTGCGTCCCCATTTTATTACCTCTGGTGACCGTCCCTGGCAGCAGCCCTGCAACCGTGAGAGCACTACCCAGGGCCCACCCCGCCCCGTTTCCAGGCCCCTCCCTCATGCGCTGTCCACAGGGGCCTTGTTTGACCCCCTCAGCCTGCAGGTCTCTGATGGGACTGGACCCTCACGCCCACCCTCAGCATTCTGCTGTCGTGGTGGGCTCCGCACGACCTCTGTCTCCAGGCCACTGTGGCTAGCCTGCTTCCTACCCCACGCCCCTTGGTCCTGCCACTGCCCTTCCGACCGATACGGCAGGTCTGCCCCCTACACCCGCCCTTGTGCTGGGGTCCCATCCTGCCCCCGAGAAGAGGAAGGATGGGTCTCAATCTGGCACAGGGACCCTCAAGATGCCGTGAGGAATGAGAGACTGCCTGTGGGTGTCAGAATCCCCGTCCCGCTGCCCTGGGCCCTGGACACAGGTGTGGGGTTGTGTGTGTGTGTGTGTGTGTGCGTGTGTGTGTGCACACTCGTGCGTGTGTCAGTGCACGCGTTCGTGCCACTTCAGGAGGAAGCAGCAGCCTCTGTGAATTCTGAGACTCATTGTGGGGAGGCTCATGACGGCAGGGGAAGGGTCTTCACTCTGTCATTCAGGGATAAAGTTTAGTTTTATTTTTCTACACATTTTTGCCAGGCAAGGCATTCTGCTGGGAAGCAGGATGCCCCCAGTTCTCCCTGCCGGGGAGGTTTAGTTTTATTAAGCTTTGGGTGCTTTTTTAGTAATTTTTTTTTACCACGTGGGGAAGGAGGTTATTCTGACATCCCCCCACTCCTGAGAGCTACTGTTTCCTGCCCTGCCCCTCACCCCAGAGCGAGGGGGATTGGGGGCCAGGGGCCACGCCACGTCCCAGACTCCAGCTGCCAGAGATGGTTCCAACTCGGAGGTGGTGCCTCTTGGCCTCCATTCGTACCGTGGGCGTGGCCGTCGAGTTTTTTAATTTTACTGTTTGCCTAACCAAGCCAAATTCCATTCCCGAATGCCCTTCCTCTCTGGCTCTGAGGAAGCCCTGACTGAGTGCCCAGCCCCCTCCTCTCACGCCTGGGCCAGCCTGGCCCCTCCTGCCCAGGGCCAGTGGTCCTAGCGCCCCCCAGGGGCAGGGGAGAGGCTGGGCGGGGAGGGGGCTGACTTACATTTTCTTTCAAACAAAAAACACAACCTTATTTTTCTTTACAAAAGCAAAAAAAAAAAAAGGAAACCAAAAAAGATACCAACCTTTGAACTATACCTCAGTCTGTCTCGTCTTTATTCTCTTTGGGCAGCCCAGACCTTGGATTGGGGGCCGGGGCGGTGGCGGGGGAGCCCGGACTGCCATGGAAGCGATTTCACTCGCTTGTTTCTTGGATACAGAGCCTGGGGTGGTGGGTTCTGAGTGGCAGTGTCCCCAGAAGGACTGAAGGGTTTGAACAGGACGTTATCGGCCTGGACGGGCCTGGGCGGCGGGAGGGTGAACCGGAGTCTCCTGAGCAGAGACAGGAGGCTCTGGGCAAACAGCGTGAGCAGGGGCTTAGCCGTCTCTCTGCGGGATCCCGTCCCAACCAGCGGGCCGGCGTCCTAAGCGTCCCAGCACAAGTTCTGGGCCCAGGCTGCCTGGTGACTGTGGAGTCTGCATTTTTATGGGCTTCATTTTGATGCTGTGAAGTAACAAGCCCACCATCCAGGGTTGAGCTGGGGATAATTAAAGCACTACACGATGCAGAGGGCCTCATTCGGGCCCAGCACCCATGGGGAGGGTGGGTGGTGGGTGCTTGGCTCCCTGAGGCCGGCGAGGCAGATGGGAAGGGACGGGGCTGGGCTGCTCACTCCAACCGCACGCAGGTCACAGCCGACCTTCTGGGGCAACAGGACCAAGCTGCCTGCAGGTGGAACCACAAACACCCTGAGTTCACTGACCTCAGGGGTGTGATGTCCCCTGAGGCTGTGACCTCAGGGGGCCAAAGGGCCCACTTCTTAGGAGCTCTCTCCTCCATTGAGCCTGCGAGGTTCCTGCCCAGGAAGAACCAGAGGCTCCCTTAAAAGTCACGCGGGTCCCCTTGCTCAGGGCTCACACCCAGTCCTGTGCTGGGAAGAGGAAACCCAGCTGAGGGGGGCGCGGGGAGGCTCAACCACAGTTGTTTCTGTGAGGGATTTCTTCCTTTAGGTGTGTGTATTATTATCTCACTAATGTCATCTGTTGTTTTTTTTTTTCTTTTCTTTTTTTAATATTTATTTATTTATTTGGCTGCATTGGGTCTTAGTTGCGGCACACGGGATCTTCCGTTGCAGCGTGCGGGCTCCTCATTTTGCCATGCGGGCTTCTCTCTAGTTGTGGTGTGCGGGCTCAGTAGTTGCGGCGTGCAGGCTTAGTTGCCCCGTGGCATGTGGGATCTTAGTTCTCCGACCAGAGATCAAAACCCGTGTTCCCCTGCATTGGAAGGCGGATTCTTAACCACTGGACCACCAAGGAAGTCCTGTTGTTTTCTTATAAAAGGGAAATACGTTTACTGTAGAAAATCTAGAAGTACAGGTGAGCAAAAAAAAAAATGACTCATAATCCCACAATTAAAATATTGGCATCTACCCTTTCCTTCTACATACATATCTTCTTTTTTTTTTCTTTTCTTTTACGGAAATGGGATCTTTCTGTCCACAACGTTTTGTCACTTCTCACTTTACACCATCATGGGCCTATTTCCATATCAAGTGTGATTTCTCGTCCCTCTTAAAGGCTGCCTTCCCCGTGAGCACAAGCAGGTAATTTTACCTTCCCTTACTGCTGAGCATCTAAAAGGCTTATCATTTCTCCCTGCTTTTATAATTGGGACAGCAGTAAGCATCTTGTAGGAACCTACGTCTTCTGTACTGAAGACTCTTCTTAGGATAATTCTTGAGAGTTGGGTTGTTCTATCAAAGGTTTTCAGGATTCTGAAGCTTTTTATATGCGTTGCCTGGTTGCATTCTAGAAAGCTACAGAAAATGATGAGTTGTTTTTTTGTTTGTTTTTTCAAAAATCTGGAGCTGACTTTTGCTTTGGAAATCTGCACCTGGTTACCAGACAGCTTATGTGGTGGGGTAGAAAGATCAGATCGAAGTTCTGGTCACATTTGTAAAGAGATGGTTCCCGCCCCCGCTCGGGCTCCAGGGAGGGACTTTGGTGGAGGATGAAGGGAAGCAAGCAGGGTGCCCAGCACCATGTCTAGCAGAGAAACTCAATTTTCAAGTGCTGGGCTCCACTTGGGTTGTATGTCAGAAAAAAGTTCTGCAGATAAGAAAAAGTTTTGAAAATCGCTGCTAGCATGCCAGCTACCTTCCCAACCGTGTGATGCCTGGACCCCTCTGTGCAACAAGAGCTGAAGGACCTAGATGATGACCTCCTTAGAAGGGTCTAAGGGGCGATCAGAGTCAGAAGCCCCCCATTAGAGGATGTTTGAGGGGTCCGGAGTGGCTCCACTGCTGCAAAATGCTTTCTGTGGTAGCAGCTCTGAGGACGTTTTGCCGCAGGGGGTGGAAGTGGGGAAAGCTGCCGTCCCCGAAGGGTCTGGCAGGTGAGAGCGAGCTGGATCACAGTGAAGGAGGCGAGAGCTCCAGGATTTCCGTAGCGTCTTCATCCACTGCCAGCCAGATTTCCACGATAATTATTGTGGTGCCCCTAGCATGTGCCAGGCTGTGCTAGGCACTGGGGCTACAATGGTGGGCAGAACAGAGATGCCCCTGCCCCCCAGAGCCTACCTGGAGCAGGAGGGTGGGCTTAGGTAAGTACCCAGTACATAATTACACACCTGAAAGAGCTGTGAGGTCATGGGTCATGGCCCCTTGAGGTTGGAGATGAAACTTGAAGGCAAGATGAGACGTAGCACTATAAGTGGGAGTAAGTGCTTATGCAAAGGCCCTGGGGTGGCTTTCAAGAAATCGAAAGGTTAGTGCGGCAGGAACCCAGGGAGGGAGTGTGCAAGTAGCTCCAGGTGAGCCCAGGAGGAGACCAGAAGCCACCCACAAAGGGTACCACGAGGGGCACATTAGGGATTTCAGATTTCATTCTAAAAACAAAGGGAAAAAAAGGGGGAAAAAATAAAAAATAAAAAAATAAAAATAAAATAAAAATAAAAACAAAGGGAAAGCCAGTGTCGAGTATAAGCAAAGGAGGGACAGGAGCAAATGTGCTTTTTTTATTTTTTTATTTTTTTGGCCGTGCCACGCGGTATGTGGGATCCTAGTTCCCCGGCCAGGGATCGAACCCATGCCCCCTGCAGTGGGAGCACGGAGTCTTAACCA